CCCGCCTGGGGCGAACATCGTCAGTGGCATGTGGATTTTCAGGGTGAAGCGGCCCCCGGGTTCTCCGCCTGTCTTCAAGGCGCGTTACGTGGCTCGTGGCTTCAGTCAGCGGCAGGGAGTAGACTACTTTCAGACCTTCTCTCGCACCCCGAAGATGACCACTCTTCGGGTACTACTGCACGTAGCTGCTCACCGTGACTACGAGCTACACTCTCTTGACTTTAGCACTGCTTTCCTGCAGGGCAGCCTGCACGAGGAGATCTGGCTGCGCCGCCCACCTGGCTTCACTGGGACTTTTCCTCCTGGCACCCAGTGGAGCCTCCGGCGGCCAGTCTACGGTCTTCGCCAAGCACCGCATAAGTGGCACGACACACTGAGGACTACACTTGCGGCTCTTGGGTTTGCTCCCTCTACTGCCGACCCGTCGCTGTTTCTGTGCACCGACACTTCTCTGCCGCCGTTCTACATCCTCGTGTACGTCGACGACTTGGTCTTTGCCACAGCTGACACTGCTGGACTCGCCCACGTGAAGTCCGAGCTGCAGAAGAGACACACGTGCACTGATCTGGGTGAAGTGCGCAGCTACCTTGGCTTGCAGATCACCCGGGACAGAGCACGCCGCACCATTACCCTGACTCAGTCACACATGGTGCAGCAGGTCCTTTAGCGCTTCGGCTTCACGTACTCCTCGCCTCAGGCCACTCCTCCGCCTACTCGCCACTCGCTCTCAGCTCTGCCTTGCTCTTCGCTACTTCCTTGCTCATGAGCTACAGCAGCGTGGTCAGCTGCGCCTTGCGTATGTGGCCTCTGAGGCCAACACCGCTGATATCTTCACCAAGGCGCTTGCGCCTTGTGATCATCAGCGCTTCTGTACTCAGCTGGGTCTTGTGCCTGCCTTGCCTCACTTGCTCACCTCTTGACCTTGCTTGTATTGTTGCATATATATACACCTGCTCTTGCTTGTCTAGCCTTTTATATATATATGTACTCCTACATGTGAACTGGCCTTGTGGCCTTGAACTTGTGCTCGGAATGTGTGGTGACTTTGTGATCCACCCTGAGCTTGCTTTGCTTTGCTTTGCTTGACTGGTCTTGTGACCCCTTGTTCTCCCCCACTTTGCCTATGGGGGTGTGTCAGAACATTATAGCTTATGTATTTGTGTAGGCTGTAGTGGGGTAGCCCATATGGGGTACAACACAATTAGGGTTAGTACTTGTACCCAACTGTTTCATAGTTCAATCATTCTCGTTCATTTTCACATAAATCTATTTTCGAAAAAACCCTTGCTGTTCGCAGTTGGTCGATCAGTTCGTCGGTGCGGGGAATGGGGTACCGCGACTTGACTGTTACCCTGTTGAGCGCTCGGTAATCGATGCACATGCGAAACCCTCCGTCTTTTTTTGGCGTGAACAGTATCGGTGCGGCGAACGGTGACGAGCTCGGTCGGATGAATTTCTTCGCTAATAAGTAATCTAACTGTTTCCTCAGTTCGTCGAGCTCGGGTTGTGTCAGGCTGAACTGTCGCTGTACAGTTGGCTGTGCCCCCGGTTCTAATTCTATTCGGTGGTCATGTGCTCGCTGAGGTGGCAGTCCTTCCGGTAAGTCGTCGGGAAAAATCCTGGGGTATCGTTTCAACAGTTCCTGTAGGTCGGGCGGTACTGCTGCCAGCATTTTCTTGAAACCACTCGGCTGCTCTGCTCCCTCTACCATTGAAATGTCTACTGCGTACATGTCAGCTCCAGCAGCGACAGCCCGTTTCATGGTGACGGCGCTGACGTGTACCGTTGAAGACTCGGGCGACTGCCAGCGAGGTAGCTCAACCCAGTTACCGCTACTTCGCACGGTGCAGCTACCCGTCGTCCAGTCAATTCGCGGGTTATACCGTCGCAGCCAATCAGGCCCCAGTAAAATGTCGTGCCCATCGAGTGTCGTCGCGAGCATTTCCTGTGTAAATCCGAAATTTCCCCCGCAGCGGACTTTGACTCTCTCCACCTTTTCCCGTATGGCCAGTGGCGTTCCATCAACTAAGCGTGCATCTATCTCAGGTAAACAACGGCTAAGTGTCAGTTGCACTCTGCGTGCGGTTGCGGTATTAACTAAACTGTGACTTGCTCCTCCGTCGATAAAAATTTTCACTGCTGCTCCCTGTATTTTCCCGTGGATTAGTACTGGGCAATCCGTCGCTGTACCCTCCAAATTCGTCCGAGCCCAATCGATAGCATGAATCGGTACTGTGACTCGGTGAGGGTCGGTGTGTCAGAACATTATAGCTCATGCATATTGTGTAGGCTATAGTGGGGTAGCCCATAAGGGGTACAACCCAATTAGGGTTACTACTTGTACCCAATTCATTCATAGTTCATTCATTCTCGTTTCAACTCTCACACAGTGGGGTTGGGCGATTCCTACTGACTGCTGGCGTTTCCCTGCCTTGGAGACTCCCTCCCCCACTCTGGTCCGCGGCGCCTCAGCTCCTCTGGGTGCGATGGCCCGGCCTATTGCAAGCAAAGCAGCGCCCCTTAAACGGCGCAGCAGCTGCATTCGTCGCAACGGCATGTACGGTGGCGTGCTCGATCGGTCCCCGAGGACGATGTCCGTAGTAGGACCCCGGTCTCGGACGGCGCAAAATGTCGATTTTCTCGGCGAGCGCGAGAATCTTGTTGAAGTTCGAGAGCACGCGTAGCATGATCTCGTGCGAGATGTCCGGCTTCAGCCCTCCGACGTAACGGTCCACCCGCTCCACTTCGTGCATGTAGCCGACTTGCTCGCATAATGCGAGAAAACCGCTAGTGTAGTCTTGAACCGACCCGAGCTGCCGCCAAGTACGCAGTCTCTGACGCGCCGAAATAGGAGCCGCGATCGGCTCGAAGCGCGCCCGAAGCCCTGCGCACCACGCAAACCACGTGCTGTATTGGGCGGTTTCACAGAATGAACTCCAAGTGATAGCTGGACCCGTGGGCCCTTCCTCTTGCGACGATGGCTCGTAGGCGCGTGGCGACGTCACGATGACTCGCCACCAGTCCATGGCGGGGCCCCTCAGCAGCGAGACGGGATATTGGATCTTCGGTGCGTCCGACTTGACGTAATTCGCGTCGAAGAAGACGTTCATCGTGAAGACCCACGATTGAACCGTCGGGCCTCTACGCTGGCTCGGGTCGAAGCAGGGCGGGCGTTGCGGCTTGAGTGGCATTGGTGCCATAATGGCCTGTTCGCCACTTGTCGCCGCGAACTCCACGTGCCGACGGGCTTCACGAGGCTCCCGCGGGCTTGGTGCGACCCTGTTTCCCCCCATGCCAGGCATCGGTTGGGCGGCGCCATCACTGGCTGCACCTGAGCGCTGTCCCACGCTGTCGTGTTGTGTTGGTGTGCCGGACGAAATGACGATCGGCTCGTCCGATTGTGCAGATGCATTTATCGGTCCGTGTGGTGGTGCTGGAGTATTCACCGTGGATTGCTGACACGCGGAGTCACGTTCCGCCGTGAGCGTCACAATTTCGAGCGTCGATTCTTCAACTTGGCGCACCAGACGGTCAAGTTGCTCCTGCGTCAACGTCGCGAGCGTGAATTCGGCCATGGCGGGGGTGTCGGGCAAGCTAAGCGAGAGCCTTTGTCGTGGCCGTGCGTGCTTACGAGAGAGTACTACGAGCGGCGGTGCTGTGTCGCTGAGAGACGTCTACCCCCCCCAAAAATTGAGATAGTGAGGAAGCGAAGGTGTGGGTGCGGCCCGAGAAGAGATCGTAGGCTCTGAATACCAAGTGTTACGAGTGCAATTGAGTGAGCGAGCGAGAATTACACTATCAAAGCAAGAGTACAATGAGCGAAGGCATGAGCGAAGAATATATAGCGAAACTACAGTGGTAACGGTAATGAACTGTGGTTGTCGCGCGACGGGCTTGGGACTGAGGTTTGGGGAAATGTCGAAGCGGAGGCCCGGAGCGCGGGTTACCCGCCGAGCCGTGAGGTCGGGGTGCGACGTGCGAAGGTGGCGGGAGGATTGTTGATGCGAGGGTTGCGAGTGGTAACGGTGCTGACTGTGGTGCTACAGTGGTGTACGCGCTGAACGGGGACGCGAAGTAAGGAAAAGGAATTTTCCTTACATTACACGAACTTAAACGCTACATTAGCACGAATATATGTCAGAGATAGCATGTCCACGAATATCTTCAAGTCTAGTGCAAAGATGCCACATTGTGTATAATGTGCCAGGATAAGTAAGCAGGTGCAATCAGGGCTCTTGCTAGGATTTAGGCCTGTCTGAAGTCCCCCCCCCCCAAAAAATCGTTTGGTCTGACGTTCAGACGGGCAAAAAAAAAAAAGTCTGATTTTTCAGACGAAAGTTGGAGCTTAGTCTGATTCATAAGACAAAATGTTTTCCATGGTCTGTTTGCTGTATTACACTAGTCAGCCATGAAAACGGTATGATTACGTCTTTACGAAGTACGAAATGAATGCGCGACGTTGACAACCTGCTAGCAGACAGTCATACCGTCATCGCCCGGATATAAGACATATATGTCTTATCTCGTACACGGGCAAAAATGCTTGAGTTATCTTGTAAACGGGATGGTTTAGGGTGTCTTATAAGTCTTATAAATGGAAAAAAAAAATAAGTTGACTGTAACACTTGCAAAGTGTGTAGAAACCACCCAAAGACCAATTTCATTTAAACAGGCCGACCTCGGTGGTGATGCATGCAGCGCCCACACTTTCCACGTGAGGGAGCTGCCACCGCTGGCAACATTCCTGTGTGCTGGCAGCATCTAATGATGCTGCTAGCGTCGTTTTGCTGCCAGGAGCGCATGGATGCTTCCAGAACGCTGCTGGCAGCACATTGGCAGCGTGAGGGCTGTCCTCTACGAGGAGATGCCTCGTAGAGGAGCGGCTCGGCACCTGTGGATGGGGCACTCTGGCTGGGGGGGGTAGTCGGGCTCTCACTTCATTTCGTGCTCAAGGAGGTTGAATACTCGTCTCAACCTTGCTCTCGGCAGGCTCTCTAACCATGCGCAGCAAAGTACCAGTAGGCAAGTCCTCACCTCGTCCTCACGTGCAGGTTAATAACTACGGGCGAATTAACTCGCCCGGCGATGACATCCGTGTAGCCATGGCGAAGAACGCGAGCAAGGCGGCAAGTTCTACCGCCGCCTCCGGTGCGAGCTGTGACGGGGACGACGGAGACGAAGCGAACGGCGACGACGCCGAGGAGGATTGGCCGGAGAACGGCGACGACGATTGGCAGCAAAGACACTACGAAGAAGCGCCGCAGTTGGACCGTGCGTGAGAAGCTTAAGTGGGCGCGCCGCTATCAGGAGCTCGGCTCCTTGAAGAAGACACGCGTGGAGTCAACCGCGTCCATCGCCTGCATCAGACGCTGGTGTGCGGAGGCGGAAGCGGGCGTCTACAAGGGCGCGGCCAACTGCCGCAAGCGGATGCACGGGGGGGGCGCCACTCACACTACCCCGACATGGAGGCAGCGTTGTACCGCTACATCTGCCTTCAGCGCGCTAACGGGGTGGCCATCTCGGTGAAGGACACCCAGAAGTGGAGCCGCGAGAGGATGAAGAAGCATTACCCCGGCAAGAACTGGAACGCGAGCTCTCACTGGAGCCAGCGTTTCCGTGACCGCTGGAACCTGGTGATGCGGGTGAAGACCAAGGTCGGCCAACGTCTGTCGGCAGGTGCGTGTTGAAGGATTTCGTCTGGCGCTCTATTGAATGCATGTACCTCACCTAGTGTCTAACCATCCCGTGCTTTCGTTGCGCTTGTCCCGTTTGCAGAGTGCGCGAAGGACTGCGAGTCCTTCTGGAAGTTTGTGCGCATCAACAGGGCGCGGCACAAAATCGACCTGGCCCGCATCATCAACGCGGACCAGACTCCACTATTCGTGGAGATGCGAGCCGAACGGACGATCGAGCACCGTGGCGTGCGCTCGGTCCCAATCCGCACTGCAGGCTACCAGAAGACGCGCTTGACGGTGATGCTCGCGTGCACTGCATCCGGGGAGAAGCTGCGGCCGTGGGTGTGGTTCAAGATGAAGAACGTCCCCAACTGTGAGATTCCGGAAGGTAAGCGAGCGTGAATTCAACCGTGCGACTGCCTGATGAGCGTGCCCCACTGTGCTGATGCCCGTCTGTCCCTTGTGTGCCTGGCAGGAATCGTGGTCCAAGCACAGGACAACGGGTGGATGGACGAGACCGCTGTGCAGACCTGGCTGTCCAAGGAGGTGCTGCCCCATCTGAACCCCCAGCGCGGCCAGAACGCAAGGCGGGCGATGCTGGTGTTGGACTCCTACCGCGGTCACATCACCCAGACCATGCTTCAGTCGTACCGCACGCACAGCATCACCCCTGCAGTCATCCCAGCGGGTTGTACGAGCCAGATTCAACCCCTGGACGTCTCCATCAACCGGTGCTTCAAGGCTGCTGTGCGAGCGCGCTACGCCAGGTGGTTCATGCGTGAAGGGATTCACCTGAAGACGAAGAAGGGTGAGTTGGTCCTTCATTTACGGTTTTATTCATGCTCTGTTTCGTGTCCTTGTCTTAAACATGCTCCTTCATATCCGTGTCTCTTACATCTCGCTGCCCCGTCCTCTGTCCCACCCGCAGGGAACCTGTAGAGGCCTCCGCACCCCGTGGTGCTGCAGTGGATCGCGGAGGCTTGGGATCAAGTCCCCAAGCAGATCATCATCGACGCGTTCCGCCACTGTGGGATCTCGAGCAAGCTGGACGGAACAGAGAACCACCTGGTGATGTCTCACCTGCGCGCCAGGAGCACCACCGATGTCTCCGCGGACATGTCTCTCGGGGGGACCACAGGCGACAACACGCGCCTGCTCGGTCGGGCTCCAGAGGAGGAGGAGGAGGAGGCGATGCAGGCGGAGGGCGTGCGGGAGGTGGCCGTGGCAACCGGCTTGGAGGTGCTGTACCAGGAGACCCCCAACTACCGCGGAGCGGCGGCCGAGGCTGACCGCATGATCGAGCCTAGGGAGACGGCTAGGCATGCTTGGCGAGTGCCAGACCTGGGTGTAGAGCCTGATGTTAGTGCAGGTGAGGAGGCGGTGACTGAGGGGGGTTAGGTAGAAGTAGAGATTCATGACTGTATGCATGTACCCCCCTAAAGTAGGAAAGCTAGCTAAGAAGACACCCCCTGTTTATAAGAAAACCCCTAAACCCTGGTTCTGATTATAAGACATATATGTCTTAACTCGTACACACAAATAGGTGTCGTATAAAAAGGCTAGCTTGTTTATAAGAGACACCCGTATAGTAGACAACCCCTGTCTACTATTCAACACTGTCTTATATCCGGGCGATGACGGTAGCAAGTTGGGCGCCTAGGGGGACTGGGGGGGGGGGGGGGGGGGGGGAGGGAGTTGGGCTGCGAGGGACATGCATGGGTGGGTCCGTGTCTTACGCGACGGACCAGGGGGGTGGAGGGACTTGAGGGGAAGGGGGCTGGGCTGGGAAAGGTGTAGGGGAGCCAGGCGGGGGAAGGGGGGATGGACTGGGGTTGCGCAGCGAGAGGCTGGGCTGGTAGAGGGGTGACTTGGTGGTGAGGTTGGGTTAGGAGAAGCGCGTGAGGGACGGGACTTAGGGCAGGGGGGACTGAGGGGAAGGGGGGGGGTGGGAGGGGGAGGGGGCAGGCCAGTACGGTACTTTCTCGGTATCAGATGAAATTGTACGCGCTTTCTGATTTTTCAGACGGAATATAACACTTAGTCATTTTTTTCAGACGAAATAAAATCATTCGTCTTGTGGTTCAGATGAAAAAAAAACTACGGTCTGGAAGATCAGATGAAACAAAGAAATCAGGTCTGATTTTCAGACCATCAGACCGATTTGGTCTGAGGTAACCAGAGCCCTGGGTGCAATCCCCCACAGGTTACGTGATGATAGTGTGATAAATACAGGACTGCGTAGAGAGAAAACATCCTACCACACTGTGAACGTTTACTATGCAAACAACGCAAGTTCACATGGGGAGCATATGAGGCTGGTATGGTATGCCACTCATTGTGCACTGACTACATATATAATGTAACACAAGCAAGGGCATGATGCCAAACCAACCGTACACCCTTTTACTGCTTTGCATGCCACCTCAATTTATGTTCTAACTACAGGCCTGTCCTGACCGAATAATACTGTAGCTTCTACCACCAACCTGTCAACAGGGCAACAGGAAAATCAGATAAGAAAGATCATACCGTATCATGTCGCAAATCAAGCACCTGTTCAGGCCATGGAACTGTGCACTGCACCGGCCAGTCTCAGTGCTTCAAAGCTCCACAACGTTTTAGCTGCAGACCTGTCGAGACATTCTGGAACGCCTGTGAGCTCATCAGAGTTGAATTGAGACAAGTCACAGGAGCCGCCTTTCATCCCATCTGCCACTCGCCTTGCCAACGCACTTCACTGCTCAGCACGAGACGACACCGCTTCCCACTGCACTGCACTCCCCACCGTTACAAATCACCCACCGCTCACCCCCTTCCTCCGTCCCTTACACGCAGACAGCACCCCTCCTCCCATCAAGAAGCTGCAAGGGACATCGCCCCCCTGGCCGGCCCCCCTGCCCACTCATCACGTCACCAAGTACCTTCCCGGCTGCACAAGACGCTGCCCATACAGTCCCTCCCTCACAATCCCCAACAACCCCCCACATTCCCCCATCCCCAACGGGTAGCGGCCCTTCCACTCATCACATCACCGAGTATCGCCCCGGCTGCACGGGGTGCTGTGCTGCTGCTGATGAAGTCTCTCACAACCCCCCACAACCCCCCACAATCCCCCACAACCCCCCACAATCCTCCACAATCCCCCACCCCCCCACTCCTTTCCCCTCATCCCCCCTACCCCCTCAGCACGCACAGCACCATATCACATGACGGGTTTGACTTGCCATGGCACGGATTTGGCTTGTGATGGCACGGACTTGACTTGGGATGGCACGGATTTGACTTGGGATGGCACGGATTTGACTTGGGATGGCACGGATATGACTTGGGATGGCACGGATTTGACTTGGCATGGCACGGATTTGACTTGGGATGGCACGGATTTGACTTGGCAAGCCACTGATTTTTGCTTGGCATGACACGAATTTGACTTGGCACGGCATAGCAGCATGATTTGACATGCCAGTGACACAAATGGCAATGTCTTAGGATTCCGAATCTGCCCACTGAATTCCTGAAAACCTGAATACTGGCCTGAAAACCTGAATACTGGCCTGAGAAAACCTGAATACTGATCTGAAAACCTGAATGCTGCCTTGAACACTGACATGAATACGGACCTTATTAGTAACCAAAACACTGACTTAGATGCTGACCTGAAAACTGACTTGACTTGAATCCTGATTGAATACTGGCCTGAACCGCTCCTATCCTTTGTTCCTGGAAACTGGTTCAGCTCTGTACAGAACAGACCTGGGATATCACGAATGCATACAAGAATCAGTCCCAGCTCAAAACACACCCACCCCCTCCGGTTGCTCTGTTCCCCATGTTCAAGCCTCAACCTCACATCACATCAGAAGTAGCCATATGGCTGATCCTGATTGCAAGGTGATTTCCTTTTTTGTCAACTCGAAAGTCACTGATGCTCACCTGACAGCATAAGGTACGTGATGCGCATTGCTCATGTCATGCCAGCCACAAGTTCAATAGAGCTGGAATGCTGCGGCCAAGTGTCAACAGCAGTGAGAGGGTTCACCGCAGCCTGCATTCAGCAAAAGGTTAACCCCCACACCACAACCCCCATTGCTTGGCCTCACTGAGGGGGAGGAGTGGGAGGGAGAGGATCAGTGGGGGGGACGGGCGGAGAGGGGGAACTGACGTGGAAGGGGAGGGGGAGGGGGAGGGGGAGGGGGTAGGGAGAGTGTGAGTGAGTAGTAAGGTAAGAGAAATGGGGCATGGGGTGATGGCTCCGACATGATTTGAATCTCTGAGATGCAATTGCAGTCACATTCTTTACTGGTCATGCGTGAAAGCCCACGCACTGCCCACCGGAAAAGCACATGAGCAACAGAGTGACATAACAAGCATGCTTTCACAACGTAGCATCTACACTTTACAGGGAAGTAGGAGGGAAGCGTTTCCTCGGCGACGACTAAAGATAGTGCGCAGGAGATTCATCATTCATGTGAACCAGCACACGGTTAAAACTAGACTTTAATGGCTCTTCCCATGCCATGGCTCGGATTTGACTTGGCATAAGAGCAGTACTTTTGAGAATTCTCAAAAGGAGCATGATCTACTTCAATGTGCAAAACGGAGAACATCTGAGAATTCTTACCCCTGCAGTAAGGAAGAAATCACCGGAATTGGAATCAGAGGTAACGGAAGGTGGAGTTGCAAGATCCCAGCAATGAGACAATGATGAGGAAGTGTTATTCCACAAGAGGACCAATTCTTTCCTGGACAATGAAGACTTGAATACTGACTTGAATACTCACTGAACATTTCCCACCCTGGGATAAGACTCTGATGACAAACTTAAAGCCTAGTGACATCATGAGGTGATGAAACTGGAATGACCTACTCACCAAGCAGCACATGATGGTAAGAAAGGAAAAAAAACAAAACAACGTTGGTTTATGCATAAGCACTGTTCAAATCCCAAAGAAAGAAATGAAAGGGGGGAGGGAGGGAGGGATTAGATGGGACCAGGTGGTGGTGATACAGACAGACAAGAGATGTCAGGAAGAAGTGCGTTGAAATCATTCCAAGCAGGGGGTAAGAGGAGGGGATGCAGAGGGAAGGAAATGTAACAACACGGAGAGAATCAGACAGCTAGTGCCAGCCGCATTAAGTCACTGCTTCCTGGTTCACCCATCCGCACAAAAACACCACCAACCATACCTTCCTTCCATGCACCACCCAGTCGCAACACACAGACACAGAATGCACATCAACAGCATGTATACGTATAAATATTCCTAGAACAGATTCCTAACCTAGAGCAAAACCTAGTATTATCTTGCACTTCCTACTATCCAAGAGCCAAGCAGGTGCATGGTGCAGCAACAGATCACACAGTCAGGTCAGCATGAGCATTCAGGTACATCAGCAGAGGATCCAAGGGCATGTCATTCCCCCTCATGCCATGCCTCCCCATTCTAGCTCACCACATTCCTCCACCTCTCCTCCCATCTCTCCCACAACACTCTGCAAGCAGGGTGGAAAAAGGGGTAAGTCCCTCCATGCACCTCCCTCTAGCCCCCACCAGCCATGCCATCTCACCCACCTCATTCGTCCTTCACATCCCCATTCAACACGCCCTGGATCGCATCTGCTGCTAATGCTGCTGTCTTTTTTTTTGGTTAGTTTTCTGTTTCTTTTCTGTTTTTTTCACTCCTTCACTTGGCTGCTACCTTCCCTGGCTTGGGAATGCCACTTGCCGTCGCTCCTGCTGCGGCCCTCCTTGGTGACGCACTGCTTGCAGGTCTGGGGATTCCGGATGCGCCATCAAGAACCTTTGCACTTGCAGCCTTTACATCTACCGTCGCAGTAGGGCCTGCAGGTGTCACCTTAGCTGCTGTCGCCTTAGCTGGCACGGCCTTGGTTGGTGGCGCCACCTTAGTTGGCGTTGCCTTGGCTTGGGTCACCTTAGATGGCGCCGCCTTAATTGGCGTCGCCTTAGCTGGCGTCGCCTTAGCTGGCGTCGCCTTAGTTGACGTCGCTTTGGCTGGGGTCACCTTAGCTAGCGTCGCGTTAACTGGCGTCGCCTTAGCTGGCGTTGCCTTAACTGACGTCGGCTTAGCTTCCGTCGTCTTTGCTGGTGTCGCCTTAGCTGCCGTGGCTTTGGCTGCTGCAGCTGCGACGGTCGCTTGACCGCTGTGCACCGCTCTGGGCTTCACAGCAGCAGCGGTACCCATCACATCCCTGGGCCTGGGCTTCTTGCTGGGCGGCTTAGCCACGGGCTTGGGTCGCAGAGGGGAGAAGCCGAGCGACGCACGGGGGGGGGTGCATAGCGCACTGCTCTTTCTCGCTGAAGCGCCCCACGCGCCATGCAATCGCGCGCCGCCACATCTTCAAGACGTTAGCGCCGCGGCGCGTGCTGCTGAAGCTAC